TTCAAACAGAATAAGATGAGTATATTTTTTTCTAGTTGAGTTTTTTTTATAGAGAAGCTATAAACTATTTCGTAAGGTGCTGACGTTGTTTTTCATATGTGAGGTGTTGATCGGGGCGAAGGAGAGAAAGAAACAATGGATTGGCTGGGTTCTGTGTATCTTTTTTGATGATAAGTAGCCGTCGTATCAGTGAGGCGAGTGCTTCTACTAAAGTTTCCCAGCGAAGGAGCAGTAGCATTATGTAGTTGAGAATAGCATTTCATTTGTAAAATTTAAGTTTCGATGAACGTGCATACGATTTATATATTCAGACGAGATACTTGATAACTTGAGTGCTTTACAATACGTTATTAATACTTCGATTCTTGCTCACTTTTTAATAATTTTTCTTTTTTGATCGTTGGGTTCGATCTCTTTTATCGATTAATGGAATTACGATCATGGATTCAATAGAAAAGTTTCACGTATGGGTGAGTGGCAATTACTTTGAACTTTTAGATGTGTTTCATAATTTACGTCAGTGATTGTTATCAATTGGTAGTCACAATGTACTGATTTATAGTAAGTTTTCAATTTAATCAGAGTTTTTTGAACAGGAAATCGTCATCTATTAATAACTCATGCTTTTTTGTTTAGATTTTGTCAAACAAAATCTTCAAAGCGAATACAGAATATGCTGAACTTCAAATGCTATTTGCTTAATATTTTATGTGAGAACATGGTAAACGATCAACATCAATTAAAGTGAGTAACCGTTTTCGTGTGACATCACAGAGAATTCATCTGAAGCAACCACTTAAAATCATTCCTCCAAGTTACGTACTCCTCAGCTTATGGTGATTTACCTATCCTGTTTGTATTGATTAGTCACTGCTAGAAAGAGATTCGTACGATTCCTTTTAATCATCTTGATTTTTATCTTTATTGATCATGCTAGATTTTGATTCTCGATCGAATTATCTTCAGGTTTTCTAGTTTCGCTCGTTTCTTAGTTAGTCAATATTGGATTCTAAGACATGATCGAGTAAGAGTTTCGTCAAATAGGAAGCTCAAAACGTAGAGAAAATAACGAACGTGGTTTCTTCCAGCCTCTGGGACTCTACCATCCTCTTGTTAATTATTATGAAATGCTATAGATAGCGAGGGTTAGATACATACAATTATGAAAACTACAAATTAATTCTGCATATCTGTTTTCATAGACATGTGTCGCCCATCGATCAAGGTGAAAAAAGCATCTATTCAGTCATTCTCCGACCCCTGAAGACAGTTCATGGTACTCTTGAATCACTCTATATATCCTAACATTCAACCTGAAAGCGATATTTGAGGCTAAGAATCGCTTTCACATACCTTATCATAAACCTTTGAGGCAGTGGATGAGGTTAATAATCGCTTTCATGTACCTTATCATAAACCCTTGAGGCAGTTGATGAAGTTCAGAATCGATTTCATATACCTTATCATAAACCCTTGGAGCGGTTGATGAGGTTCAGAATCGGTTTCATATACGTTATCATAAACCCTTGGAGCGGTTAATGAGGTTCAGAATCGGTTTCATATACCTTATCATAAACCCTTGAGGCAGTTGATGAAGTTCAGAATCGATTTCATATACCTTATCATAAACCCTTGGAGCGGTTGATGAGGTTCAGAATCGGTTTCATATACCTTATCATAAACCCTTGAGGCAATTGATGGGGTTAATAATCGGTTTCATATACCCTATCACAAACGCCATCGACCATTCATGATGCCCATAAACGCTTTCCAATATCGTTTCTGAGAGGGGCTCACGGGTATAGTATTTTAATCAACCCTTTTTAGACTGAGTTTCGAAGGTTTTATAAGAACGTTTATGTTAATTATCAACCCGTTTCAGGGGTTTATGAAAGTGCAACGTGTCGCAATCCCTTTAAGGATTTATGAATCTTATCAACCCTTCAATAAACCTTCCAGAAAGAGTATTTAACGTTAATAAACTCCGGATTAAACCATTTTTAGAGGGTTTATAACAGGGTTTATGACTCGTTGATAAACGGTTGAAAAGGGTTTGCTACACGTTGCACTTTCATAAACCCTTTTTTCGTTTTTTATTCTACGATTTTTTTTTACAGTGTTGTTTCATTATCTTTAATAAATACGTCAGATATTTTTTTCTGGTCTTTGTTAATAGATTGATTTAACTGAGCAAACCATTCTCGATATTCTTGTTTATGTTGGGTTTTTACATGTCGATTGAAGTTGGATGTTACATCTTTACTATCATATTGAATTTTATTACATAATATACATTGACCCGACCACTTTGATTCATAAGTTTTTATATTTACATAAAATTTATTTCGTATTGTTTTTGGAATACTATCAGTAGTTTCTGACGTTGTTTCAGTTGAATCAGCCAATGTACAGGAAAGTATTGGAACAGTTGATAATACACACACATCTGGAGAATCATGTGAAACATGACTATCAACTTGTGAAATTAAATCACTCATATTCAGTTGTAATACAAGTTGTAATTGATCTAACCAGTTTAATACAATAGGTCACGTGTGATGTACACTCTGCCGTATAATTGCTTATATACTCGCGAATGTCGATGTCAGACAGTGTCTTTTGTAAGACCAAACAGACTAGACGAATAAACAATGAATTTTTAATTCATTGTTTATTCGTCTAGTCTGTTTGGGATCTTATTTTATACGCCTAGGCCAAATATAACCTGACGAGAATCTAATATGCATTTAAGTTGCAAAGAATAGCTGACTTGACTTGTATTTTTTTGTCTAGTCACAAGCCAAGTCAAGTCACGTCGAGTGGCAAGTCATTAAAAAAAATTTTCAAGTCAAGTCAAGCAAGTCAAAAATGACTTGACTTGACTTTGACTTAAGTCATTTTTGACTTGACTCGCCCATCTCTGGTTTCGCGGAACAACTAAAGATTCCGTATATCTTATACGAGTCTATCGAAAGTTTCGTAAAACATCAAAATGTTCTGCATACATTGTACGAAGCTGTTTATAGTTTCGTAGATGATGTAATGGTTCGGTATATCTTTTACAAAGCCATGGGTAGTTTCGTACAATGTGCCGGGAACTATTGGTTGGCCGTAGTTTGGTCGAAAGGAAAAATATCGAAAAGAAAAATATCGAAGGAAGAATATCGAAAAAAGGTATAGAACGGAAAAAATGTAGAGTGGAAAAATGTCGAAGAAAAAAAATGTCGAAAAGGAAAAATGTAGAAAAAAAAAATGTCGAAAGGAAAAAAGTCGAAACTAGAAATATATAGAATAGTGATATCTCTAATAGACAGTAACTACAAGCACCTATAATTTGTTATCGATTTTCTCATTGCTTTATTGGTCTGGTAGTATAACAAATAGTAAGGAAAGAACTGGAATAAATCATCACAAAATATAAAATTATAAAATTGAGAATCTATTAGCATGACCACAACTGCTCCATCATCATTAGATGAAAATCAACCACCATCATCAAACATTTCATTTATTCAATCACAAAAAGGAAAACCATTGCTTATATCAGATAAATACATTTTCAAATTGAACAAAACAACAACCACTGCAAAATACTGGACATGTACATTTAATGGTTGTTCAGCAAAAATCCATACAAATATCAATGATCAATTTCTTAAAATAATTCGTGAACATTGTCATCCTCAAGAACCCGAAAATATTGATGTACGTGATTTTCGTGAAAAAGTCAAGGAACGAGTCAAACATGAGACAACACCAATTCTCCGTATATATGATGAAGAATGTGAAAAAGCAATGTTATCAACTGCAGCAATAGCAGCATTACCAAGTGAACGTGAAATAAGTAAGCAAATATCGTTCTTGTGTTCGATCTTGGCAGATCATTTTTTTTATTTCAAGACAGTGCTTTCAATGAAGCTCGTCATGCAATTACACCAACAATTCCAACAACACAATTCTTTGATATACCTGATCCATATTCGAAAAAATTGAGAAACAATAATTTTTTAATTCTTGAAAAGATGATTACTCGACGACAACGAATTATTCTATTTGGAACATCAGAACAATTGAAAATGCTTTTTACAGCTGAAACGATACTTATTTATATGACCTATCTTAAAATGTTAATATGAATAAAAAAATGAAGAATGTTATGTTAGCTATAATTTTCGACATTTTTCCACTTCAACATTTTTCCTTTCGATATTTTTCCTTTCGACCAAACTACGGCACACCGAACTATTAGAGCACTTACGAAACTATGAATGGCTTCGTAGAACTTATCCAGAATCTTTAGATGCTCTACCAAACTACCAACGATTTCGTAACATGTATACTGAACCTTCAGATAACTGGCGAAGCTGTTAATGGCTTCGTATAAGATATACGAAACCATTATATGGATTTCGAAACTATCAATGGTTTCGTAAAATGTGGGCGGAACCTTGACAACGCTTACGTTGCTCTTCATGGCTTCGTGAAAGATATGCCGAACCATTGGATCATTCACGAAACTATCGATGGCTTCATATGAGATATACGAAACCTTTAGATGTTCTACGAAACCATCAATGGTTGCGTACAATCTACACAGAACTACTATCTAGCTTTCGAAACTATCAATGGTTTCGTACAATGTATAGGAAACCATAATATAGCTTGCGAAACCATCAATTGTTCCGTAGAATGTGTATGAAACCATTATATAAGACTTACAAAACTTTCGAAAGCTTCGTATAACAAATACGGAACCTTGTGATGTTTTACGAAGCCACTGATGGTTTCGTTAGTCAACTAATCGCTCCTTTTCATTGCACGATATCAATGATAGTTTCGAAAAACAGCTCAAGTGTTATCAGTTCTCGTGTAGAGGCTGTTGAAGTTTCATTAAGCTATCACAGGGTCGCTCTGCTTCCTTCACTCTAAAAGAATAGATTTATTACTAAACTTTAAAGTTCCGCATTTATGTACCGAACGATTATAAGTTCCGTGAAATGAGAATTGTTTCGAAGTTTGTGTTCAGAACGTTGCGCAATTCTTCAACGAAACTCTTAGCAAGTTTCGTAAATTCGGCACGAAACGGTTGACAGTTTTGCAGATCATCTAAAGGTTTCGTATATTTTATACTGAAAGGTCAATGGTTTCAAAAGGTATCAGAAGGTATCAGAAGGTTTGGTGTATATTGCACAGAACGACCAATAGTTCCGTAGGTTATTAGAAGGTTCCCTAAATTTGTCACGAAACGGTCGATAGTTTCGTAGAATATCAGACGATTCCCCGTATCTGACTAGGAACAGTCGATACTTTCGCAGTTTTTTCATGCAACTTTTTATGATTTCTTTAGGTACTAGAAGATTTCATATGCTTCGTGCGAAACCACATTTCGCCTTGTACAACATTCTAAGCTCTCTATTCCTTTTATAAGCACGAATAGTTCAGCGTTAGCTTCACTGCTGAACTTACTGAAAAATGATCTTTTTCCAGTAGTATAAAACGAGAACAGCAGATCTTATTAGCAAAACTCAAAATAATGAAAAACAGATCACAAACATCTGAAACAAACCACAGCGAAGAGATTAAAAGGCGAACGAAGCTCATTAAATATGGATAAAGGAAAAAGTTTATTTAGCAAATCGAGAAAATTATTAACGTAGTGATCAGAGCAAGAAGCTAACAATAACAATAACGTATTGACGTTATTTATATTGGTTCAACCTTCAGTCACAATTACAGAAGGTCAGTTAGGATCATGTTAACTAGAAACACAGACAACACGCAACTTTCTATGTTTTCATTACGAAAAGGCTATTAGTTGCAAGTGACGCTTTCCGATAGAGTTAAGTCAAAGATTTTGAAAGTCGAAAAACTTTAGTCTTTGACGGGTTTTTCGAAATCTTTGAGTATTTTTTTTCAGCAAACCATCTAAAGGCACAGATTTCTCGATCTGGTCAACTTTTGCCTGAACTCTATCAATATCGTTATTTTCAAAACGTGATCTTTCGTTAATGACAAATAAAAAATGCATAAATTTTCTATGTACTGAATAGCTTGGTAGTAATTGGGCACTCTCAATTCTGATCTCATGTCGAACCAATATCAATACTATCAAATTTAATACTAGTGAAACTAAATAATAACGGTATCGTCACAACCATAATCGAGAGTAAGTAGACACATTGTTTACTTCCCAGCTAGAGAAAAAATTCATGCAGCATATTTAGGAAGCACATAGAAAGTTACAGAGTGTCCTGAGTTAGTCCCCCAAAAGTTACAAATAGTACCCCGAGATAGTCCTCAAAAAGTTATACATGGTCCCCCGAGATAGTCCCCAAAAAGTTACAAATAGTACCCCGAGATAGTCCTCAAAAAGTTACAGATAGTATCGAGAGATAGCCCTCAAAAAATTACACATGGTACCCCGAGATAGTCCCCAAAAAGTTACAAATAGTACCCCACGACAGTCCTCAAGAAGTTAGAAATAGTACCGCAACTAACCCCTTACAAAGTTACGGAACCTATATGATGACTACTGATTCACCGTTTTGTTTTGCGGATGTTGCTATATATATATATATATATTTCACTGAGTCAATTGAAAAATCAGCGTCATTTAAAGGCAGTTTCAAGAGTAAGTATTGGTAGAGATGTATTGTTATATTGTAGACAGTTATCTCCGCATTGGTAGACATCTCGATAGATAATAACTTTCAAGATAAATTAGTATCCTAATTAATTAATTAATTGTATATAATTATAGGTTCGGTGACGATACTGCCGAATACAGTAGTTTCCCAAACCTTTTGAATTAGTTCGCAATATTCCAAGCATTGTGTGAGTAGTGCCTAAAATAAACATTTAGCTAGTCTCTATATGAAAGAGGCTGGTTTTCAATGGAATGTGATATCAGATCCTATTTGTTTGAACGCAATCTGTAGACCGCATTGAGTCATTTGAACCGTATGGATTATGTTATTTAAAAACTCCTACAATTTTCTTTTTCTCAGATTGATCGCAATAACAAGGTCATGGGTGAGTTTTATTACTTAACATGATTATATTGTTGTCTATTATAAGCTGACCCAAATATGAGATCCATGAGTAAGTTTATTGTATAAAATTCATTCATTTTTTATTATTATAGATTGACTTCAATATGAAATAGGTAAGTTTTATTATATGAAATAACTTATATTAATTTTGTCTATTATAGATTGACTCAAACATGGAATGGGTAAGTTTTACTTTACAAAATAGCTTACATTTATTTTTCTATTATAGGTTAATTCGCACTAAACCTGTTTTTAATCGTCCAGCCAGTTACAAATTTAGTTAAAAATCAAAC